TTATGAGTCAGCTTTTTTTTTTTTTTTTTTTTTTTGTGGTTTCAGGGATCAATCTCAGGACCTTGCCGTTGCCAAGCAGGCATTTATTCCACTGAGTTATCTCCACCGCCCTTGATAAGGAATTTTGAAAAAAAAAAGCTACATAAATGTTTTTTTAAATTTTTAGTAATAATAAAAAATAGCATTAGAAAAAAGTCTGTTATAATTTTCCTGATTGTATCTGTTATTGAAACATTTTAATGTCATCAAGAATTTTAGTTATGTCAGCTTCTTGTCTGAATATTTTTTATATTCCTAACTGTAGTATTGTAATCCATTTATGACTTAGTAAATTCATTGTATAAAGAATACTAGATTACTGGGGCTGGAGAGATATCTCAGCGGCATAAGCACCTTCTTGGCAAGCACAAGGACATGAGTTCCATCCCTGGCCCCACATACTGTGTGGTCGCAGTCGTGGATCCCTGCGTGGCACCCACCATGTGGCCATAGAACCAGGTGTGGTGGTGCATGCCTGTAATCCCAGCACTAGGGAGGTTGAGCCAGGAGGATCTTTCAAGTTCAAGACCAGCCTGCAGACTGCAAAAGTGAGCGCAAGGCCAGCCTGAACTGCATAGCAAGACCCTGTCTCAAAAAACAAAACAAAACAAAACAAAACAAAAAACAAAAAAACTAGATTACTTATGGGATATGCTAGTAAACTAACAATGTTTCTCTTTATTGTATATTATTATTTGGCCTTGAATGAATTATTGAAAATGTATATATTAAATGACGGAGTTTTGTTATATCTGTCATAATTTTATTAATGAAACTCTGGACAAGAATAGGATTAATTTAACAACTGATCAATGGAAATGTTTGTGAAGATCATAAATTTCATATAAAATAGGAAGAAAAAGGAATAAAAGCTTTGCAGTGGCCAGAGGGAGAAGAGAAGAAAGAATAGAACAAAATTATTTAGATTTCCTGGAAGAAAAATGCTTAGTTTTTTGTTCAACATAAAGTAAAAGATTAAGCAATATAAAATGATAACAATATAATAATAGAGCTATACTTTGAAGAAAATATTTGGGACAAGGAGATAGCTCAATGCCTTAAGTGCCTGCCTGGCAAGTGCAAGGTCCTGAGTTCGATTCCTGATACAAAAAAAAAAAAAAGAAAGGACTGGGTAGGGAATAAATCAGATGATTTATGTGTGGTGAAAGTGTAATAGCATAAATCAAAGATGGTAGTAGCATCACAAAACTTATAGGTTACAAGTAGAAAAAATTGGCTGTCTTACCAAAAAGAACAAAAGAATGGATAAATTGGAAAAATGTGATTCCCCCCCCCCCCAGTGATGATATATGTATACATCTTGCCAGGCTTGTGCTGTACCACTGAACTGTGCTCCAGACCCTGTAGTCTGAAGTGTACTGTGAAAATAGAAGATGTCTCCTGATCACTTGTGATTTTTATAGTTATATAAATATTTCTATATAAAAATAAATATTTGCTGGGAGTTATGTTCCTAGCTCTGTCATTTAGACTTTATTGTTATTGTTAAAAGATTTTTCCCTGAAAATTGATTTATATAATCTATATAAATATTTGCATATACTTGAAGTTAATATGACATGCAAAGATACATAATTATGCTTCTAAAAACAGGTGTCTCACCCATCATTATCAAGCTTGGAAGCATTGATGGTTTCACAGAAGTCTGAAATTGAATATTTACAGAAGAAACTGAAAGTGGCAAATGAACAGCTGTTGGAGCACAGATCTATGAACGAGAGTTTCTCCGAGAAGAGCATCATGAGAAGTACTGAGGGAAAATATAAGGTAGACAAGGTTTATCATTTTATAGAGTTGCAGGGCAAGGCTGGCAAAGCAGGAGGTGAAATTGAGAACAACAATTACATGTACTACTCTGCTTATTTTTCTGTGAATTCAGAATGAATATATTCCAACTTTTTGGTGAAATAGCTCCACAGGGCAGGTTTTCCCTTTTTGTGACTAAGTAATATTTTTCTATTAATTAATTAATTGAGTGCATTATTAGTATACCTGTTTTGCCAACAGATTAATTTCTTATAGTAAAATGTTTTTATAACCATCCCTCATCTATCTGATATATGCATCTCTCTTGATTCATTTTAAAATATTGGTCATTTACTTAATTTTCTAATTTTAATTAAATATATATTATTTCTAGTTTATTTTGATATAAAAGTTTAAATTACTGTCCATAGGGAATATGATAAATTGGATTTTTTTTTTTTTTTTTTTTTTTTTTGCGGAGCCGGGGCTTGAACTCAGACCGTTGCACTTGCCAGGGAAGCGCTTATCCTACTGAGCCATCTCCCCAGCCCCAATAAATTGGATTTTAACATTAACTCATACGCATATTTTGTGTAGATTAAAAGGGAATATCAGTAGCAAAGAATCATCTGTGGTATGATGCAAAAGATTCTACCAGTATTGATTACATTAAGTTTCATAATCTCTCTAGATAATTGTAATAGCATTTCCCTAGTAATGGTATGTAGACATATTCTTATACTTGTTACATTGGCAATAAATATTTATATGTAAAAAAAATTGTTTTTGAAGTAACTGTTTTTGTTTCGTTCCATTTTCCCCGTTTTTCTTTGAATAAAACAATCCGTAAAGGAACCATTTAAAATTAGACTCATGTTTCCGTGGTACTTTTGCTTTCTATTGTTATTACTCATGATACTATTATTAGTAATTTTCAGAAGAATGAATTTTATTTTTTATTAAAACATAACTTACTTGTGTGTTGTGATTTGTAGTTTCACAAGTTTCATTTAAGTCGAGGTGTAACTGTATAAGGCATAATTTGGTTCCTGAAGGAAAACGTAAGGCTGCTGTATTGCCGAATTCTAAATGGACTGCTTTGGTGCTTCGCTGTTTTTAAGAAAAGTCAAGAAAAGGAGAAGCATATTTGGACAAAATTGTCTTTTTTTATAAAGATACACAGTAGCCATGTACACTGTGCTGCTCAGCTTAATAGTTGCTTTCACATTTCCTTTTCCAGATTGGTATATGAAGCTGTACATAATATAAACACACATTCTGGTCTCTAGTTAACCACATTATAGTTAACGACCATATGGTCATTATGGTATAAGATCTACAGTCTGTTGTATTTATATTCCTCAAGCATATTGTTCCTTCAACTTCACAGTATGTTAAACTATTTCAAAGGGGAAAAAAATCCTTTCCCTCTTGTTTCTGGTTGTCCTATCAAGTGTAACCTTGGACCCTTATAGAGCAATTAGACTAGCCTCTATCCCCTCCTTTGTAATGAGGTTTCTTGCATTTCTGAGTCTATAACCCTTTAGTCTTCCCTAATGGGACATCATTATTCTGAAAGAAACAATGTAAATGTAAATGAATATTCTCATTAAGGAGTCACAGAGAAACCTTTAGCGGTAGCACTGTGGTAATTCCGCTTGTTATTTCTCTGGTATTCCATGCAGGATTTTTTTTTTTATAATTCATTATTAGTATTCAAAATTACTTGTTCTTTAATTTTGCATGTCTTTCATAATCCAGTGTTTCAACTCGTTCAACTGTGTCCTTGTTTTATTCTCAAGGAACCACCTGTGAAACGTTCAAGGTCTTTGTCCCCAAAGAGCTCTTTCAAAGACTCAGAGGAACTAAGAAAGCTGAGAAGAGCTGAAAGAAAGATCAAAAACCTAGAGAAGGCATTACAACTACAGGTGAACACTTACTCATTTCTTCAGTGGTAGCCATGAAAATATAAAAATATACCAAAGTGTACATACCTTTCACAAATGACTGTCATTCTTTTTCCTGATTTTAATTACCTATATGGAAATATGTAACCGTGGGATCTTGGTTTTAAGATTCAAGAGGACTGTGATATAATAAAACACCTACTACTTGAAAACTAAATATCACTGCTTTGAAATTATTTTAGAATACTTTGGCTTAAAATTGGGAATAAATTTCTTATATTTTCTAGAAACAAAGATAGAACTATAGCAAGTAAAAAGTTTTTCTTCTTCCTTACACTGTATAGGATAGACAAAAATAAAAGTGATTTAGAAGTCATAATAGCTTAGGTCCCTTATAGTTATCCTTTCTATAAAAATTACGGAGTCAAAGTGGCAAATAAATAAACATAATTTTTCCATAACTGAATTTGTCTCGGAACATTTGAAATTTAAGTGATACTCTGCCCAGATTTTAGAAGTATATGCCTTAGCTATTTGTATTAGAGAGTACCTATGCTTTCCTCTTCTCCTTCTAACCTATGCTTTGAATTCTCCTTATTAGGGGAAGCTGTTCATGTATATTGAGCCAACTTTATGTGGCTATATTGATTTTCTTTTTAACCTAATGAAAAATTTTGTTTGTTGTGGTACAGGGTCTGAGAACCAGGGCCTTGTTCCTGCTAGATGAGTGCTGCGCCACTGTGCTGTGTTCCTCTCTTCTAACAGCCTATTTTTGCCTCTGACTATAATATGGAAAATTTTTCATTCTTCATTTACAATTTCCCAGGACCCTGCTTTATTTGAGTTTCAGTTATATAATTGATTGAGAGTAATATAATAATAAATTTGTGTGATATTTTACGAGAGGTCCAATGCTTTATACATTATTCAGGTGTGAGGGGTTAAGAGTTGAACCCAGAGGTTTGCATATGCTGAGCAAGCCTTGTTTCTCTGAACCATACAGCCCTATAACTTGGATTTTTTGTCATACAATGTAAATAATTCTTAGGGAGAAAAAGTACTGACTTACTTTTTTAGAGCAAGATAGGGTTTAATATATAGTTAGCTATATATATTCTTCTAAATCCTATGTTTTCTGCATATGTATATTAAAATGAGATTTACTGTAGGAAATAGACTTACAGAATTATTCAGACTGAGAGTCCAAGATCTGTAGGAAGCTAGATATCTAGAAGAGCAGATGTATAGTTACAATCTGAGCTCAAAGGCTGTAGAACCATGAGAACTGGTGGTGTTATATCCAAATTTAAGAGTTTCAGTTCAAAGGCAAGAGAAGACCTACATCCCAGCTTGAAGGCAGTTGAGGAGAGAGAAAGTCATCTTTTTACTCAGCTTTTATTCTATCTGGGCTTTCAGTAGATTGGTTGAAGCCCAGCTATACTGGGGAGGGCAGTCTGCTTTACTTACAGTATTAGCCTTTTTCTTTTTTTGTAATAGCACAATATGAGTCCTGTGGTCAAGAGAATGGTTAAGTTATAAAGAAAAGGTTTATTTTGGTTCATTGTCCTGAAAGCACAGAGTTGAGAGGCCACATCCAGCGACAGCTTTCTTGCTGACAGCACCCTGAAGCAGTACAAGATAAGGGACAGAAAATAAATGTACGTGTAGCTCTTCTGTTCAGCATCCCTCATCTTATAAAGCCACTGGGATAAATCATGGAACTCCACCCTAATAATATTCTCTGATTTCAATCACCTCTCAACAGCCAGACCCTTCTAAACACCACAGTAGTTAGATTAAGTTTCTGTACTCTAAATATTTCACAAGGGGAATTAAATTTCTGTACATATGCCTTGCCCCCAACCTTGCCCATACTGAAACTATATCCAAACCATCGCACTCAGTCCAGTGATTAAAATAATAATCTCATCCAGAAGCACTAGTAATATTTAAACAAATCTGGGCAGTCAGTTGAAAATTAACCATCACACATACCACTTGGTCATGGAAGCTCTTTAACGATTTTGCTTCCAGAGATCTACAAAGCCTTAACAGTCCATTATTGTTAGGAAAGAGAACAATTCAAAAGATATTTAAGATCTAATTTCTTAAATTTCTTTACAAAAAGAGGCTCAGAAGGATTGTACTCACTTATTTTCTCATTCCCTTTCCTAACAACAGCATTCTGAGTGCAGCCCTAATTTTATTTTTAGAGTAAAATTATTTTAACGCTAATTAAAATGTTTTCTATATTCAAATTGTAAGTCAGTTGGTGATGACAATGATTTTAAATTTATGTCATCTATAGATACAAAATGAAGAAAAGCAGGAGCAAAGTTTGTATTTTATCCTTAGTAGATTCCTTATTTTAAGGAAGAAATAGGTACTGAAGCAAGAACATTTAGGAAAAGAAATAGGAAAACAAAATCTATATTATAAAGCAATTCCAAGAAGAGTAAGCCTACAGCACTTTTTAATTTACAGTTTATCTCTTTTAACATATTTAGTAGAGATAGAAGACCTTGCTGTATAATCCCCTTTGTCATATTAATATTAGTGCTGTTGGTATTCCTGAAGTGCCTCTAAGTATGGGGTAGATAGTACTACTTCTGAACTTGAGGGCATGTGTCATGAGTGTAGCCCTGGATTTGATCTCTAGCATGACAAATAGTGCTGATGATAAGCACATGTCTGTGTTAGTTTCTGAGGACTATTGGAAGGAGTACCACATGCTGAATGGCTTAGTGCAGAAATTTATTGTCTCAAGTTTATGAAGAGTCTAAGATCAAGGTGTCAGCAGAGCTGGATTCTTCTACACTGTGTGAGGGAAATCCGTTCTGTCCTCTCTTAGCGTCTTGAAGCCTTAGGTATTCCCTGCCTTGTAGATGCATTCTCCCATGTCTTCACGTTGTCTTCTACTATGCATATCTCTTCACCATGTCTAAATTTCCACTTTTTGTAAGGGTATTTGTCATACTCAACTAGAGCTCACCAAATCCAAGTTTGGTGGAACTAGCATCTGCACCTTCTATGCTGTTCCACTGATCCTCAGGTCTGTTTTTGCTTATTATTATTTTTTTTTGTCAATACCATGTTGATTTTATTACAGTAGCTTTGTAATGTAATTTCAGGCCAGGGATTATGAAGCTTCCTGATTTTCCTTTGTTGTTCTGAATTTCTTATGCTGTTCTAGGTCTCTTCTGGTTCCAAATGAGTTTTATGAATGTTTTCTCTGGATCTGTGAATTACGCTAATGGTATTTTGATTGGGATTGCATTAAATCTGTATAACAGTTTTGGGAATATGGCCATTTTCACAATGTTTGTTTTTCCTATTCATAGCAGCAGTAAGGGATATATTCTAAATATAAAGAATTATATTCTAAATATAATTCTAATATATTATAAATCTAATGATTATAGATTTCATACATTTATTAACATGTTATCTTGCTCTGCTTTTTTCGTGAGCTGTGTGTATTTTTAAATGAATGATTAATGACATAATAAGTAAATTCATATGGAAAAAATGGAATCTGGTTTTAGAAAAATAGCACCCATAATCCTGACATCATAATTGAGGTACATTTATAAAAGAATTATTTTATAAAATAAAATAGGGGAACCTGTACATCAGAGAACTTTATGAAGTTCTTCCAATTTTTAAAATCATTAATGCCATAAATCTCTGCAACTTTATTCAGTTGACATTTTCAGTGCCATTTAATAACATTAACTTTTCTATTGAGTACAATAAATGTCTTTAGTGCTATAAGATTATACATAAACTTTTTACATTCTGTAGTGGAATCCTTGATATTTCCTTAAATTTTATGTCATTTTGCTTTTCTAAAATATCAATCTTGTTCCTTAAAAAGCAAGTTGCTACTTTATGAACAGATTTTATGCCCCTACTCTCATCAAGGTGCTTCTGACCAAACCAGATTAGGTCCAGAATCCTTTGTTTTTGTGAAGTCAGTAATAGAATTTGGAGATACCTTTGAGGAAAGACAATTGATATAATTTTCTATTTTCTAATGTTTTACTAATTCAGACTTGTTTGTTAGATGTCAGAGCCTGTAGTTTAGCTCATTTAATTAAAAATCCATAAAAGGTAATCAATATTTTATTTATTGAGTAAATATTCAGTAGTCTATGGACTAAATATCATTCAAATATGCCTATGGAATATTTTTGTGTGTATCCTTTTAGAAAATGTAATAATATATTTGATTTTATTAGAAGGTTTTGATAGCAGTGTTTCTCAAAGAGAGTACTACTTTGTATTGGCTACTTTATGCCCATTGAGACTTGTAGAATCATGATTCTCCATAGTAAGATTGCTTTTGTGAGAAGATTCTAAAAATGTATTTTGGTTATTCTTTAAAAATACTTCTTGTGAAATAACCAGTTTTGCAAAGTTGAATTCAGTTGAAATCTATCATATTATATTCTATCATATTATATCTATCTATCATATTATATTCTTATTTTACTATTTCTGAAGTAGGACAAAGGAACAATACTCTCTACAACTAATTTTCCTCATTAATTATACTTTGATACCAGCATTCTCAAAGCATGAGTGTATAGATGAAACTGCATTTAAAAACAATTATCAGTATACATTTTATCTATCAAGTTTATTTACAAGAAATTTCTAGTTTCACTTTTTATAGTCTAGGTTTTAATAACTGTACAAGAATGACATAAATATTTTAGTATTAAATATATATCTAATGATATATAATAAGCAAATCAAATTCAAACAGAGAGCTAGCCATAAAGTGTATTTGCTATATTACTTGAGTTACTTGCTTGAATTATTGTAGGAAAACCAAAAATAGTTGCTAATATTGAACATTTTAGATCAATCACTTAGGAATCAGAAGTGGCAACATTTTGCTCTTTGTTAATTTTCCTAGTACAGAACCTTGCACATCATAAGTGATTTATGGAGTTCAAAGGTTTTATTAAGCCTTAGCCTTTGGTTTAATGGCATAATAAAATTTCTTTGTATTTGAGGATTAGAGAAACTGATTGGTATAAAATCAGTGATTGATAGAGCCAAGGTAATACTAAAAATGATAACATAATGTCAATATTGTTAAGAAAATCATTGTGTCCCATTATTGTAACACAGAATCTTAATGATTTCCAAAACACTGAATTTGGGAGTAATGGTTTGTTAGAAGTTTATCATAAAACAAGAGCTTATGGGGAAGAACTTTGATTCCATAAAAATAATTAGAGCAAGATATTCTAGAATCCTTTAGCATATTAGTTTAATTACGTATTTAAGAATGTTGTTTCTATAGGAGTCTCTTCAAATATGATTTGTAAATTTCTTTTTTAACAAATTTATTTATTAGTACCTGTGTGTGATACATAATTACATCTTTCATTGTGGGTGTTTGGTGTATGTATTAACACATCTTAATTCCTTTTTATGTCCCTTTCTCCTCCTGCCTTCCCTCTCTCCCTTCATTTCTTGGTTCCTTTCCCATTTGTAGCAGAGGTATCTCTTTGTTTGCTTTTATCAGCCTTTTATTTTGCTTGTTATTTATGCTGTGGATTTCTCATATTAGAGAAACCATGCAGCATTTAAACTTATGTGGCTGACTCATTTCCCTTATGTTTTCAAAGTGCATTCATTTTTCTACATATGAATTTAGTAAATTTCTAATGCCTCCTTATAAGAACCTAATAAATCTTTAAATCCTTAAGGAATCCCATAACATAAATACAGTACCTTTAGCACCTATAACAAGGTATAAACATTGTTGGTCTTCTACTTTTCTACTTTTTTCTTTTTCTTTTCTTTT